TGTGCATGTGTGTGTGTGTGTGTGCATGTGTGTGTGTGTGTGTGCGTGTGTGTGTGTGTGTGCATGTGTGTGTGTGTGTGTGCATGTGTGTGTGTGTGTGTGTGTGTGTGTGTACACGCACGCACGTGCACACACATGTGTGATATGTGTCTATGATATGTATGTAGTACGTTTACTATGTGTATGTATGTTGTGCATGAGAATGCAGCCTGTGTGTACCATGCATGGTGTGGGTGTAGAAGTCAGAGGACAGTCTGGGTGTCGGTCCCTCACCTCCTTTGCTTGAGACTTGGTTTATTTGTTGTTTTCCAGTATGTGGAAGTACTCTGCTGGCTGGACCAGGGGCGTCCAGAGTTTCCACCTCTACCTCCATCTCTCCACAGGACTGCTGGTGTTGCAGACATTTGTGCCATGTGTTCAGTTTTTATGTGGTTGTGGGGATTTGAACTCAGGTCCCCAGCCTTGCATAGTAAGTGATTCTTCTCACCGAGCCATTCCCTCAGCCCCTAAATGACTTTAAAAAAAAAAAAAGACCCAACTCTTTATAGGAAACAGAATTTAGGTGGTGCCAGGTATAGACCCAGGTCCTTCAGCCTGCTTGAATGGCCCCCCAAAGGGTCTGTGGTCCCTCTCTGGGGCACATCTCCACGTTCCCCATGTCTTTAGCAGCGCCAGCATCTTTTGGCACATGTTTCTCACCACACTCTTATGTGTGGCAGGGTCTCTTCACCTTGACTGTATAAATGGGGAAGTTGAGGCTGAGCAGTGGAGTGGCTTACCCAAGGCCCGGAAATGAACCCTGGTTGGCAAGTGCCCTTCGAAGCATGACCTTGGGAGCGGTCAGCATGACCTTGGGAGTGGGTGTGATGTTGTGAGAACCAACGCTCCTCCAGGACCACAGCCATCGGCGTGGTGCCCGGCTGTGATGGGAGCAACTGGGCCTGAGCAAGTCACCACCCAAAGGGATGGGCTTTTCTGGACTCCTGTGTGCTGACTTCGTTTAGAAGATGACATACCACATGGGTGTGTCGCCACATGGGTGTGGAGCTAAGAGGACCACTTGTGGGAGCTGGTCCTCTCCTTCCTCTATGTGGGTCAAGGGATTGAGCAAGGCATCAGGTTTGGTGACAAGCACCCTCACTCATGTGTATACACACACACACACACACACACACACACACACACACACATGCACACTTATGCACTAATATAAAATATAGAGAAACTAATTTTAAAAGTTTTAGAAAATAGCATGCACATTGGTTCTCCCCGCTGCTCTCTCTAGTGTGGCTGTGCAGAGGTGTACACAAGGTCTGCAGGTCACGCCATCATCGACAGAGCAGGGCCTCTTCATCCCCAGCCTCTCTTAAAGGGCCACATTGGAAGAACCTGGAGGATTAAAGATAGCGTTGTCTCCAACCCAGAAACCCCAGGCCGTGTGAGAGCTAACCTGTGTGCTGCCCAGACTGGTCACACAGGCATCCTTTTAGACTGTTCCCCAGTCCCCTTTCTATCTCCTTTCCACCTGCTCCATCACAGAGGCTCCACAGGGGAGGTGGGATCTGTCTTCTCCACTCACTCCTGGGTAGGCAGGAGAGCGGGAGAGAGGGCATTTGGAGCAAAAGCCCACCCAGGCCTGGCTCAGGAAGGAGAAGCATATGGACTCATTAAGAGGTCCAGAGGGTGGCAGAGGGGCAGTTATGAGAACTGAGTCTCAAGGCTTGGCAAGGATGATGTGACTGCAGTATTGTGGGAAGATCACTGATCCCTGAGCACTTCTGAGTTTGGTTCGTGATTATTCTAAATATTTATTGCAGTGCTCTGGAGGTGAGAAGAGGCCGAAGTTCCCAAGTTCTAAATAAGAAAATGGGCAAAACTTAGCAGCTTGTGTCTTCAGGGGCAGTGAACAGACCATGTATAGTCCAAGGAATTTGTTGGTGCCTGGAGCATGCCCAGGACCAGGCCGTTGCTTGGCGGGCTGGTCATGGATAGAGTGAGGTATGAAAACAGTGTCATGGCATGCTCCATATGATGAGGCATCTGCCAGTCAGTGTATTGATCATTAGATATCCCTGGGTGTTAAAGTTATAGGAACTAAGTCAAGCTTAGTAGTGATTTGTCAGAGTCTGTAAATGAACAGTAATGGTTTCTCTCAGATGGGAACCAAACATCCCAGAGTGTCAGTGGGTCTGGGTGTCTCACCATCCATGTTTCCTTCTCTAGTGGGCATTTCCTGAGCAAACAAAAAACAAAAAAACACAAGCACATGCCCACACTTGGGCTCTCAGCAAAGGTAGCAGAGGTATGGCCAGGCCTGGGCCGTATGATCTCTAGGAGGAAGGGTAGCGATGGAGAAGGCCATGCACATCTGGATTAGATGGAATTAATGTCCCACGGAAAGAAAGACCCCATTGGCCACAGAGGGAGAAACAGCTGGATTGACTCTAAAGTTGTCCTCTGTGCATGCCAGTACCATGGAAACTGGTACAAGAGCTGCGGGTCCAGTAAGGAAGTGAGCCTTAGAGACTGTGTCCATACGGTTCAACCACCACTGTCTAGCTGGGGACATACCAGGCAGTGACTCTCACACACACTCACCTGAAAGATAGCTGGGGTCTGTCCCCAGAGGGTCCTATTATCTGGGCTGGGAGGTGGTTGCAAGGTTCCCAGTATGAGACTCCCAGCCTCCTGCTGGTCCTGTTGAAAGACATGCTGAGCTAAGGGTCAGGTGCGGGGCTCTCTCCACACCCAAAGTTTGCATCATGGTAACTATGACAACCCAGGGCCGTCAGGGCAGCAGTGGCACAGCAAAGCCCCTTGACCTTGTTGGGGTAGTTGCCAGTTCTGGCTCTCCACGGCGGCTGGACCACAGCTGTTACTGAGAAGCAAAAAAACAGTCTTGAATTTTGGCTTCTCCTCATCTCTTACTTGTTAGTGAATGTGAGCCAAGGACAAGAGGGTAGAGGATAGAGGACAGCATGGAGGGGAAACCCAAGATGAGCGTTCTCTCTCTCTCTCTCTCTCTCTCTCTCTCTCTCTCTCTCTCTCTCTCTCTCTCCTAAGATTTATTTATTATGTATACAGGGTTTCTGCCTGCATGTATGTCTGCAGGCCAGAAGAGGGCATCAGATCTCATTGTAAATGGTTTTGAGCCACCATGTGGTTGCTGGGAATTGAACTCAGGACTTCTGGAAGAACATCCAGTGTTCTTAACGTCTGAGCCATCTCTCCAGCCCGAGTGTTCTCTTTTTAAAGCAATATTTATTTGTGTGTGTGCGTGTGTGTGAGTGTGTGTGTGTGTGTGTGTGTGCGCGCGCGCATACATTTGTGTGTCATGGTACATGTGTAGAGGTGTTGGATGGAGAAAAAGGAAATGGGAAATGATATAACTATATTTTAAACAAATAAAAATTCTTATTGGAAAAAGCAACTAGAAATTATAGAGTTGGAAGTTACTTCAAATAGAATATTGGAACAGACATGGGAACATTAAAAACCACAGTTTGGCACCCAGAATATCCACCACAATGGGACTTGATTGACAAAGCCAATGCTAAAAATAACAGGAAGGATACCCCTAGAGTTACACTCCTTTGTCGACTCTTAAATAAGCAACTAAGACAGAAGTGTAAATAGTTGAGAATATTGTGTGTGTGTGTGTGTGTGTGTGTGTGTGTGTGTGTGTGTGTGTGTGTGAACACGCACACGCCATGGTGCATGTGTGGGGGATCAGAGGACAACTCAAGGAATGAGGAAATCGATTCTCTCCACCTACCACGTGGGTCCCCAGGATTGAACTCAGGCTTTGTGGCAAGTGCCTTTACATTTTGAGCCATCCCACAGGCCTGAAAAATGTGTTCCTCAGACATGTAGAGATGGGAACGGACGCGGCCTCTGTCCTCAAGCCCCTAAGGGCACATTGTCAAGCAAATCTCCAAACTTTAAATCATTGCGGCCAAAATGATGGGTTTGGAAGGTCGGACTCCTGGCTGAACAGAGCCTCGGGTTCAAGCATCCGTGGTTAAGTGTGACTGGGATTTTAACTACGTGTGTGCTACACATTACAGTTAGACTTGTGGGTTCCAGTTGCTGCAGGACAGCCCGACCTACAGCTGAAGGTGGTGACTGTTTTCGGTTGGGTTCTGAGGCCCAGGATGGGAACATCATCACTTCCTCTGGCAGAGTTTGAAAAGTTGCACACAGGCTGCCAGTTCCCCTCTGTGGGTCTTCTCTCACAGCTCCTGGCCACCAACAGAAGCTCCTCAAGGCACCTGAGGCCATGTGGAGGTTCATGTTCAGAAGCAAGAGGCGGGCAGTCTTGGTGGGTACCCACGGGTAGGTGAGGGCTGCAGAGAGCATGTGCTGTGGACAGACAGACTTACCCATATTCCTTCCCCGACTCTGCTTCCTCAGGTCAAAGGTGACACGACCCCCTCAGCTGAGACACAGCCGGCCTCGTCCTCGTCCACGGAGGTAAGATCTCACGTAGTCACTTCCCTTTGCTGATGTGGTAGGCTCTTGGGAAAATGACCAACGTGAAGGCTTTCTCGATTTCCTTGCTTGTTTTACTCTGCTGGCGTCTAATGAAGCACACTGTGATGTGCTTTTTGGAAGGCGAAAGTATAAAATGAGAACTGCTGACATTCCAGTGGAAATGCAAGCGCAGTGGGTTGTGCAATAAAGTCTCTGAACAGCAGGGGTCTGCCTTGTGTGCCAAATCGGAACAGCACCCAGCTAATGGGCCTGCTTGTAGGGTCATCAGGAAAAATGTTACTTCATGTGAGATACCCCTTTAAGACAGCTAGGCGCTGTTGGTGCCTGCCGGCTCTTGACTCTGTCCTTGGGTAAGTCAGGGTCCTAGTAGCAGCTCTTTGAGAGCGAGGCCTAAGAGGACCATCTTTAGATGGAGATGGCTTTCTCGTTTTTTCAAATGGCTGTTTGCTTTTAATAACATTGCAAATAAGAAAGTTTCTAAAATGTCTTTATGTTAGTTCTCGATGTCTGGCTCCCATGATACAGTAGAGCTTCTCCTGTGGGAGGAGGGGCTAGAGTCCAGCCAGGTGGTGTTTGGCTGGGTGACGTTAACTTACATTAATGGCGTCGATGTTGAACAAAAACTCTCCCAATCTTTCTGGAGGGCTTGGCAGCTTTCTTTTTTTTTTCTTTCTTTCTTTCTTTTTTTTTTTTTTTTTTTT